TGCGTTGAACCTCCATGTACATTGGACTTGAGATACACCATGAGCACTGTTGCTACTCCCAGACTTCATGTGACTCCACCTGCAACTGTAGTCCCTTCTCGTCTTCATCACAGTCAACACTCGAGCAAAAATTAAGTTCCTCGTTACTCTAGTTTGTGCTCCCAACTTCCGGAGTATCCGCTCAACGCCATCACACACTGATCATTAATCTGCGTGAAAATGAACAACTCACATATTAGGTGTCACATATAAGAGTTACCTGAACTCAACATCACCGCTCTTTCATGACCGTCTATCTGAAACTTGAAGGAATTTCACCGTCGCTTTGTGTCACCCTGAGTCAAATTCGCAGTTGTCTCACCCTTTTTCCCCGGATAGTCTCTGACATGTCCCACAGCTATAGCACTCAACCTCCTTCTGTCTTGTCATCCGCACTTTGCCATGTGCACTGAACACAACAGAATATATGGTCATGTACTCTCTCAGCTTTTGGCAATTTTAAACTCTCCGCCACTTTCTCAGATTCTCCATGGTCAACTCCTGTCCATCTTTCGGCACCGATAGACCCAGTCACCAATTTGAATCCGGTACTCGTCAACACTGCTTCAACACCCCTGCACAATTTGTCTGACCACCAGTGCCTTGGCCTGTCGCTGTGTCCCGTGCTTACCGCACGCCTCGCCGCTATCACCGCGTCGAGCCTCTGCTGTCCTGGTCGAGTCTCCCGAGTAGCTAGCCCCCACTGTCTCAACTCCCACTGCAGAGAACCATCGATCATCACCGACCGATGCCGAGTGTCACGCCTCCATCAGACCACTGTCGCCCAGTCCGATCCACGTGTCTCTCGCTTTACCCGCTGAAACAGGCTTCGACTCTCCGTTAACTTACGCCGTAGCCCCTCCATCAACTCAGAGTGAAGTCATCCATCAGACTCCTACTCCACCTTCAACATGACTCCATGGTGGTTGTACATGCCGCCCCCTCCCGCGCCCTGTCGACTCCAAGCTCTCATGTGCACCTTCTTGAATCAACCCCGCGCAATAGTTTGTTGAAGCCGCACAAGCCCTCAAGCCTGCACCACGTGTTTCCACGCCCCAGAAGTCAGCCACCATCAGCATCACACTCCTATGTCGTTGTCGCTGAAATCACCGTCCTCTTCTGCTTTGACCGACATCCCCGTCAATCTGTCAGACAGTACAGTCCGACCCAGCCGAATTATCCGGCTGCGATCATGCTTCACCCTGCGTCGTGTCCTCCTCGCACAACTGTGCATTGCCTTGACGCCCTGTGTTAGCATGCTCCTCTTTGTGCAACGCACCTCAATTTCCGTCTGACTGCACTGTCGAATAACACCATTGCCGCCAATCTGCCATCTCAATGTAACATGCAAAGAACTTGAGAAATAGCCCTCGGCAGTATCCGTGCACGTGTAACAACCAGTTCAATCAACTTTATTACAACCATAGCACCACGTGGACTTCCTTGACCAACTCTTGTTCTCTTACTCTTTTATTTTGTTCACACGTGAGATCAATGTGATCCCAGCCAATGGATCCCGTATTCCAACACGTTGCAGCACCATTTGGGAATCGATAGTTTTTCCAACAAATCTCGTACACGTAGCTCTGGCTGCGCTCGCGTTCAGCCAAGACGGCCTCCTGCTTCACCCCGCGCCTCTGTGCTGGACGCCTGGACCTCTATTTGCCTCGCTGGCTCATGCCCAGCTTTGCTCCTTGGGCTCAGACCGCGCGCCTTGCATCCGCGTTGGGCCGCACAATAGCAGCCCACATGGGCTTCGACCTTGTGCCAGCCGCTGCCTCCAATCGCGCAGAATCGCTGAGTCCGTCCAACGCACACGCGTTAAGCCGCCGCCGTTTCCGTTGATCCGATCTTGCCTAGCCTGACCGCTGATTCCGATCGCTTCGTAACACAAGCGACACGTCGTCCTTTCCGATCGCTTCTCGAAACAACCCGACAGTCCCGCTTCTGGATCTTCCTCGTTGCAACTCACTGACGATGCCATCGATTTGCTGCCACGGCCATGATCTGTTCACGCAGAACTCCGTCGTCTCCGTCGATCATCCTCTATATCAACACATGTCCTCTTCGAACCTTGCTCATGATACCACTTGTTAGAATAAATCCGAAGCATACCGTCGATCATCTGAGGATCAAGCAACCACACGAGCACGACACCGAGATTTGTTAACGAGGTTCACCGATATGGCTACATCCTCGGGGCCTGACTATGGGCACTCCTCCCCATGACACCGCTACAATACCGCACCCGGTCGCCCTGGACACCGGCACATGCCGCCGGCTTCTCTCTGCGTTCCGGTGCTATTATGTTGGCATAGGTTATATCATGTGTCTACATCTGATATATATGAGAGGCTTAAAATACAAGTGTCCTATTAGGACATAACTCCTACCCTATCTACACACAGTCCAGACCAAGTCATACTGAGGAGTGCAACCAGGCGGAGCAACGATGGCGCCGCCCTCCAACTGCAGCACTACCACGAGGTGCTCCGCCTCCCATCGAGCGAGGAGGGTGTCACGCTGAGCATCGATAAGATGGCGACAGTGTACTGGGTCCAGTCGTCCAGAGCTGCCAAGCCTGATTATCTCCTGATTCATCTTGATCGTCTGATATGCAGCCGGTGAAGGAGCAAGAAGTGTTGTTTAAGGTGTGACTTGGCAGAAGCAAGTTACCAAATCCATGTATCACCCTCCAATATCATTAAAACCATTCAGTTAAAACCAGTGGCGGAGCTAGATGCAGATTACGCCTAGGGCTATGCTATGTTAAGTGATAAACTTCTATAATTTTCTATGCTTTGCATGAAGAAATTACAAAGGAAGTTGTTTCTAGGCCTGGGGCTATAGCCCGCCCCAGGCCTGTCTCCGCCATTGGTTAAAACCATTCAGCTGCGCATCAAGGACGAGCCCTCGCGATGTCCACGTCCGCAACGGTATGAGACAAAAAGGTCCCCTTCGCCGAGAAGAAAGTGAGAAAGAGATTGGCCAGCGGCGTAGCCCCCAGTCCCCATCCCCAATTCCTCTCCCTCACCCTTTCCCTCGTCTGCCGCCGCCAGCCCCACCGCCGCCCTCCCCGCAGCCGCCGCCACCACCGGCGCCCAGGTGTGGCGCTGCTCTTCCCCACGGTCCTGACGGCAAGGCGGCGACAAGAGTTAGAAGGCGGACGGCCCCGTCAGATCTCGTGCCGATGAAGTCAAGGACGAGCTCCACCCGGACGATGTCGATCCGCCCCCCTGCCACACTTCTCCATCGCGTCACCATATTCGGAGGAGCCGCGACTTCTGCTCGCGCATCTGCTCCTCCCGAAGTTGTCGCCATCGGCAGGAGGAGTGCCGGACCGCACGCCAACTCGAGGACCGCCGCTCCGGCGGACCGTTGTTTCTGGCCGCCGTCCGCCTCTGGTGCCCGGCACAGGAGCTTCCCGGCGCAGGTCATCTTCCTCTCCTTTGTCCTCCCCCATTCCCCTCCTAGATACTCGTTGATTAAGAGGTACAAGTGGGTGGCCAGCTGCAATTTCTGGATGGAAGACATCTGGTTAAGATTTACTTTGGGTTCTTGTTTCCATTTTCTCAATGGTTATTACTTATATGTAATTAGTACGTAAAATACTAGCAATTTTTGTATACCATGTTTGTGGCTGAATGCATTGAGTTGCTGGAATTGTTGTATTAGATCACATGCATTATTCAGTGCACTCTTGATTGTCTTACCAATGGTCCAAATAAATGCACAACCGGTGAAATTGCCCGTGGTTTTGATTTACTTTTCTTACAATAGAGTAAATTTCATTATTTTTCAGTTTGGACATACTTCTATCGGTTTGCTTGTAATTGCAGCTTAATCTGTAATTTGTAGGCTTTGCACTACAGAGCAGTTGGTGGTAGGAAGGACAGAGGACGCGAAGAACTCATGGTTAGGTGTACGGAGAGGGGAGGAGGAGGAAGGCACTTCTCTGACAAGATCCATAGCCACCACTTCATCATCGGCGGCAACCCTCTGTATTTCCAATGGTAAGGATACTGGGCAGTGCCAATTTTAGGTGTGGTATACTCAAAATTTTGCTGTATCTTTTTTCACAAGTATTTGCAACGGTAAGGATAGTGGATAGTGCCAATTTTAGGTTGTGGTATACTCAAGATGAATTGGTTCTCTTAGGAGAAAAATAAGGAAGTCAGAGTTTTTGTGTTCTCATTTATAAGCTTGATTTTTTTCCTAACTCATGATGCAGTGTAGTAATGTTATTCCGGAAGCATGCGATTTACAAAATAAAAGGAGTAGCAAATATCATATACATGGTTAAGGGACTGGCTGGTTTCTGATCCACTACAAATTGAGCATTCTTTTGTGAAGGAATATTACACTAAAAAAGTTGTCATCAGTATATATCTCAAGATGAATTGTGTCACGGGAGCCGATACGGCGGCAGACACAAGCAGAGCAAAGCAAAGCCGGCGCGACGGCCGGGCCCTCCAAGCACACAACCACTGCCTCCTCGCCAAGATACGCTAGCCTGCATCTACAAGGTGAGTCCCCAACTGCAATTTTGTGAGCCCTCAACTGCAATTTGTTTCTAAAGATTTTTGAACAACATGACTATACATCTACTCTAGCAATTTGTTATATTGGTCATATGTGTCCTATGGATGGTTTGGATTCCTATAATTAGGAAGATGTCGTATTTGGCTGTTTTTTGTGCAATGACCAATTAGTTGTGCCATTTGCTTACCAGATTTTCATGCTATGGTGTTATTGCAATCCAGGAAAAAAAGGAACTTGCCTGTATGGTGTTCACTAAAAAGAAGAATCTGCTAAAAGGTTGGTCCATGCTTATCTTCACTGATTACATCTTTGTGGTTAACTGTGGTCACAATCGTTGATTACCGCTAAAGAAATTTATAAGTGAATTGTTTCTTTCTATCTATGTTTGTGTATATGTTGGATGTGGGCTGTACGTGGACATGAACTTGTTCCTGGGATTCAGAAGGGAGCACGTGCCATGGAACTTCAAGAAGACGGAGAACCATGTGTACCTCCATGTCGTGCTTTGGCAGAAGCTGGATGCCGACGAGTCAGAACCTGCTGAAGAAGCCACTCTGCTCACCATTGGTATGACAGAATTGTCGCTCCTTATATCATGTATGTATCATCTGGTTCTATGGAGATCCCTATGGCCTATGTGAATAAATGCTTTGATTGGCATTGTAATATCTTCTGTTTGGCTCTATTTGTTAATAATGATGGCAAGCAAAAAAAGATATTTTAATGGATTCACATGGGTGTGTTATTCTGGAGCAGGTTGATCACGCTGCCCTGTTTGAACTGATATTATTCAGTCTCATCAACTATGAATATGGTGTATGGTGTACTCACATCCATGCCATCTATTGCCACATTTGCAGACTTTGACAGTTTTGGTGTTGCACCTATATGTAACCCTGAAAAAATATTCCAAGAATCTTCTTTGATATTATTTATGATATTTTCATAATACATATGTTCTCAGGCGCTTTCCGTGGGAAGTGATAGCAATGGAAGCGGAGCTGTAGCTCTTCTGAAAATTGCAAGGATCTTTTCACACATCTATACAAGCCCTAAGACCAGAAGCAAGTTTAATCTTCTCTTTGGATTAACATCTGGCGGACCCTACAATTAAAATGGAACTAGCAAGGTTATCAATTTTTGTTACAGTGGCTTGAAGTTTTGACCAACATGTGTGTGATATTATTGACTATGCAATTTACTTGAATATCATTGGTTCCCGGAGCAATGATCTCTGGATGCATGTATCAAAGCCTCCAGAGAAGCCTTACATCAAGCAAATCTTTGAGGTACAGTAGCCGTTTCAATTTTTTGGTTCATAACTTTGATTACCTGCAATTATAAAGTCTTCTATAACTTGAAGTGTGTTTCCTTCAGAATTTTTCGCATGTCTCCAAGGAAATGGGCATTTCAGTCGCACAGAACATTAATGTGTCAAATTCTAGAGTGTGTTCTTGCCTTTTGAAGGATTGTATACCATCATTAGGTTTGAATCCGATTAGGATTTCAGATAATCTGTCTTACATGGACCTACTGTCAGTAGTAGCACAATGGCATTATCATATCATGTGCTGCCCAGCGTGACAAACTAGCGGAGCGGTTCCCAGCCGAGCACAAAAAATAATAAACTTACACCAATCTTCGGTTTTCATGCTACAGAATTTGTGTGCTCATATAGTTGTATCTATGAAATCGCAGACTACATGCTGAACAAGTTTCAGATTGAGGAGAGCCTGGTCCCAAGATGTGCCTAAATTTGTACAGGGAATAAGGAACTACAATGGCCGGTCTGAAGGTATATATGTCCCACAACGCTTAGATTAACAAGTTTCTGTTAGTTTCATAGTATTTAAACTACAGGTTTTGTTTCTAACTTTTTTCATAATCCTGTTGATGTGCCAGCTTATGGGCTACGATTTCGACTACGAGGATTCCACGCCAGCGTGCACGGTAAATTGCCATATGAGAAGTTGAAGCCGGACCCTGTCCTGAGGAATCTACTGCTTTCGATGCCTCAAAATCCCTCTGATGTTTTTTGCTAATCGCATCAGCAAGGGGTCTGTGACAGTTAAATGCTTCAGCAGTTACAGTTTGTTGTTGCACTGTAGATATTCACCAACTCTGACGAGGCTCACGCGGTCGCCCTCCTCTTGGTTAACTCTGACATTCATTGTGCCATTTATATCAAAATATTGCATGAGTTTTTGTTGGTTGTTCAAGGACTAAGCTTATCTTGGTTAATGTGAATTTTAATTGTACTCTGGCTCAAGTGATTTTTTGATATGGTAACTAATTTCTGGTTCTTTTTGCTAAATTCTAATTTAAAAACAAAGCAGTAAGAAATCATGCATGATGTTTCAAGTAAAAAAATAAATAAATGCAGCCTCGAGTGCTGATCTATGAAATAGATACCATCAGGAAGGTCATGCCTTCAATTCATCATGTTCTTTGCATGCCTAATTTTCCTCTCATCCTCTTTTGTTGTATTCACAGTGTTTTTTTTTCTGGACAATGGTTCTGCATCTTTGCAAGAGGATTATCAGGCCTGAGTGACATTTGTGGGGAAAAAATCGTTCAAAGCTTGGTGTTCATTGCTGTTATTGTTCCTAATTTGAAGGGGACTGAGATTTCTACCTAGGAAATTCAAGTTGTGTTACCTTCAAATGATCGGACATCTGAAATAAATTAGATGTTAGTAAGTCTATTACTAAGACAAAGACATTGTGTTCTTTTTCATAATTTTTCTGAATTGTCTTGGAGAAGCAAGTAGGCAATACTGATGAAGCCCAGTCGTATGAGCTGAGGGCTCAGACCGTCTCGCCGCGCTGGATCTGATCTTACATGCAAAGCTGTTGAGCAGATGCTGATCATTTAATGTTGTGACAGTAATAAGAGTTGTCTGTATTTCTTCTTTCATGTACTATAAATACAAGAGACATATGTACTACACTACTTTTGGACAAACTGTAATGGGTTGTCCTCGTTACATGTACAACCAGTGTAATGGATCTGAACTCATATTTTCTCTGCCGCTTTTGTGTTTATATACATGCTTGCTTTTCAAACAAATATAATCCGCACAGCAGTACAATCACTTTGATGGACATCAGCTCATATAATCTTAGTATTTCTGGGCTTATCCGTCTGACTTGCTGATACATATAAATAGCATCACTACGAATGCTCATGTCCATGCGCAGATGTGCAAATGTCAAAATGCGGACCAAATGAGCTAGCTCAATGGCATCAAGAACCCTTGCACTGCAGATAAACTTTGCTACAACATTTTTTAATTGGTTTGCTCTCTGTTCATACGCTAGGCTGTACATACTCAAATTGTCAATTGGACATCAGAAATATTGACTTCTTCTTGTTCTTTCATCAGCCATTTTATTTGAGCATTCATAAGTATGGGTCCTCAAGACGTGTAGTCAATAACAGTACTTTACTATCACCATTAATATCATTAATATCCATAGAACATGCTCTTATCTTTCATATCACACAATAATTTATGTCCATGCAAATATCTTGCTTTCTTCTACCAGTATTTTCAGGTTAACTATACTGAAGAGAACCTGCTGGACTACATTGATTCAAACAATGGTACACTCGTGGTCACACTTGCAGACAGCCATCTGCTTGCCGAATGTCGGATCATGCTAGGAACACTATAACCACCAACTGGTCCGAGTTTCGTCGCCGCGCCAACATTCGCGAAGGAGACATTTGTGCATTTCGTTTCAGGATCACTTCAAAGCGCCGCCTGGTTCTCACCGTGCACCGCCTCTAGATGCACCATCGAAGACACTGCAGCCCCTGTGTCAATATAATCTAATATAATGTAGCACTAAGTACTCCTCATTATGCTCTATCCTGTGATAACCTATGGTTTGCTTTTGGACCCTCTTATCACATGCTTTTCAAGACGCTAAACCTATGTTGCTGCTTATGTTAAGTGCACTATTCTGAGTCAAATGTTTCATGTTCAGATCCATAATGGGCTTTCTCTATATATATATATTTCTATTTCTACTGCTAAGTTTCTTAATAAGCAATCATCTCAAACACTAATTAGAATAGAAAACAATGTTAAAGGGGCGACTACAACCAGGCACCGCCCAGCTCCCCCTCAAGAGGCGGGCCACGGGCGCGCCCCAACACCTAGTTTTAGTAAACACGCGAGCATGGGCAATGTTTTTAGAGTGCACATCTACAATTCTAGAGAAAGCGACATTACCAAAACCTTACTTATATAAGAAGTGTGGCATGGTGAAGAATAATTTGAAGAGTCCATGTAAAGAGGTTGAATGCTGCCCATATTCTGAGGGTTGGCACATGCAGTTATTTCATTTATTAGATAATTGCCCATGAGTTACAACTGGATGTACACTATTAAAATGGTGACATGGCGGCAAAAACATGCCAACCAACCATTTAACTGTCGAAGGAGGATGCACGATGATACTCTTGCAATTAAAAATATCAGACATTATCCACCTCGTGCTTTCTTTCTGGCCGCTCATGTATATACTTTTCAGTTAATTAAGATTATGTTTTGCTGTTTCTAGCGAAAAATAACACATAATTATGAAGTGAGTTTATAACTAAGATGAAAATATAGCAAAACAAAGAAACAGGAAAGCAATGAAACATGTACTCCTATCTCTCTTTCCAACCAGGCAACCCCTTTTCCACAGTACTATTACAGAGCAGAGGGAACAGGAAAGAGGGATGCGAGTAGAAGTATATACTCTTTTTGCCTAAGCAGGTGTTTGGACATCAATTTAGTATACATCAATCCAAGCATTAGGAGTAGTAATACTCTAACTTACCAAGCATTACGAGCAACAAATGAACCAACATCAATCCAATGTGGTGGCAACCCAGCCCACATTCAGATATTGCTCTACCTCGTGCTCTGTTACTTGTTTGAGCATGACATAATATATAAAACCGTTGCCAACTGTAAATACTTTGAGAAGATGCCTTAGGAGATAATAAAAGAAAAGAAAAGAAAATATTATAAAGAGCATCTATCCGGACACTTTGGATATTGAAATGTTCAGGGCCGGTCCTGAGATTTTGGGGGCCCGGGGCGAAAGTAAAATTTGAGGCCCCCTAATGTTATCAATAACAATGATAAAAATACTATATGCATTTACAAAATGTTATCAATAATTACTTAAAATAGAGCCAAAAGCCAATATTCATATAAAATGACTTATACATGTTACCTAAATAATCTCTTGTAAAATTCCTCTATGCAAAATCACTTATGATTGTGTCGATGTTAATCTCATCCATCAATTTCTTCTCCTTAAAATGTTGCATAATCGTTTAAGCTTTGTTGGGTCATTATTTACCCATAAAGGTTCTTCAATAATATCAAGGTTCAAAAGCATTTTTTTAGCTGATGCAACAATCATAGACACACTACATAAATCTGAAACACCATTAGTTTTGTAATATTTTCTTCAAAGTGATTCAAATCAACCAAAACAGACAAATATTTAACATGAAAATCCTTCCCAGCTTCTAAAAATTTCTTCTTGGCTACTACTTTTATGAAACTGTTTCTTACTCATAGCATGACATTTTACTGAAAATTGTATAAAAAACAATATGATATACCTTGGATTGATTAGATTGGCATCAATGGCTGGACCCTCGGCAGTGATGTGTTGGCATCGTCTGGTGGTAGGCGCTCGGCGATGTGCGTGTGCGCCTACTCCGGCAGTGCCAATTTTTAGAGGCTAGGCGATGTGTGTGCTCCGTCGTCGGCTGCGTACAACGTCAGGAGAGCAGCAGTCTACCCTTACTTTGGGATCTGGAGTATGAAACCAGGGAACAGAGAACAGAAAATTAGGGATGAACTCACGTCACACCATCGTTTTCTTTCCCGAGGAAGAATGTTTCCTAATGATAATTATTAAGGAATAAAGAGAA